TCAATCGAGATAAAAGCTTAAAATTTTAAATGTGTGGTGTCCTGCAAAGCATCTACCTGAAGATGCATGAAAAATTAATGACACCTTACCCACTAACTCCGGGGAATATAATTTTAATTATAATTTCCATATTAGTGAATATTATGAAAATTACAACATGGCGCTCAGCTCTTCAATTACATATACCAAGCTGCTTTAACATGCACTAATCCTTAATTTTGTATGCATAGGTTTCGTGTAATCTTACAATAAACAACCATTATTTCCTAAAACAGCACTAATAACTTGATTTCTAAAGGTGAAGCCTTGTGTTTTCTTCGAGGTACGGACTGAACTCTTGAATATTATTTAGACGAGATTGTCATCAACGGTATCATTGCGTAATCAATCGGATTGTGAGGAATCAATGCTGCTGTTTCAATTGAAATATGACGAGATGTAAGAAACACAAGAACTCGAGCTTTGAAAAAACCTAGATCACGTTTACAAAGCAGAATACTGTTCAAAAGCGACGAGAAACACTTGACACGCGACACCTGGTTACGGCCACTGAGGATCGACTGTAAATATCGTATTCAACAAATATTTCCGAAATATTCTAAAATAATAAAAACACGCAACAAATCAATAATTTTAATTCACAAATTCTGAATCTCATCCAAGCGTGTGCCAAAATTCACTTAGGTTCACATAATATTCTATTCAAACACACCAAATAGTTGATCTGACACGTCAAACTTAAACAGAACTTAAAACAGCAATCCCATAAATAATATCAGTAACAAGTGCGCAAACTGATTATCCGAACGAGCGGACAACGCCTTAAAATAACACATTTTTGTCCCATCCTCCACGATTCACCATACTCGCTGTACAACTTCGGCAGGCAACGTTTAAAAGATGAACAAGATATACTTAAAAGGTTTCTGGGGTTTTGAATAGTTTTAAAAGTCTAAGAAATTATTAACTATAACGGTATCCAAAATAAAAGTGACAAAACTTAAAGTATACGACAAGTTATATATTTGAAAATAATCTCTAGAAACGTTCACACACTTTCCTCAATATGTTTCAGCATAGCTGACTGCACTGTAAATGGTATGGAACTCTAAATAAATAATAAAATAACGCTTATAATCTCTCTCAATAAATAATTACATGCGCGCAGTTTAATAGGTCATAATATCGAAAACGAACAAACCTAAATATATTTCACTAGACAATCACGTTATTATTTTACATTCTACAAGAAGAAAGACTTTCAAGATCGCAAAATTTCGTTCGCCTAAAACGACTCATAATTCTATGACCACAGACTAGTATCTTAGCAGTTGCGTTAGTGACGATTCGACTACACAATGCATTTCCTCCACGTGTTATTAATGATGTTTTATAAAGCATCATGTTTTGTGAAAGCCATGTTATTAATGATGTTTTATAAAGCATCAAGTTTTGTGAAAACCAACAGCATGTTGTCCATACCAAATTTCATTAAAATGTCAGTAATTATAATATTTGACAGTATTGACACTCACAACAATGCGATACCTCGAGTCTGTGTTATCTAAAGGAATTAGTGAAAATCAGCTGGAACTACAACGTACAAATCCTGTCAGTGGAAGAAGGTTGTAAGACAGCTGATCGAATTAGTAATGGAACACGTCACAGATGGTACTCCTAATCTGAAGAAATGTCGATGGAGATAGGGTTGACTAGAAATGCCACAAGCGGCAGTCCGTTGGAAGCTGAAATATTAACCGAGATTCATGCAAAACTGGCGCAGACGAGGACAGCCGTACCCTGCACCAGTTGCTTTAAAAAAAAAAGAAATATCGTACGTCACCGCATGGAGTCTGAATAGAGTATGAGCAGGCAGGCACAAGAAGGAAAAGACGAAGAGATACAGATGAAACTAGTAGAACCAACACCGTGGCGCGAATCTCGAGAAATTGAAGTTTCCACCACACACACACACACACACACACACACACACACATACATACATACATACTGAACTTCCGTTCTGGGAAATAGAACCCCTGAAATTAAACTTCACGCACCCTCCTCAAACACCAAACTGCCTCACAGAAGCGGATGCGAGAAATGGAACTGGCAAGAACCACCAGCTATTACCTCTTTCTAGAGAAACAAAGTTATTACCGATGTCACATTCCATGTAAAATTGTCGTGGAAACAGAGGATGTGGTATAAAGATCAATGAGGAATACAAATGGGAAGCCAAATTTTGTCTTCTTCGCTATGTAACTGCGAGCCGATAGAAGACACGGTAGTTCGAATGGAAAAAGAGATGGATATTAGACGTTTAGTTTACCTTCATGATTGCAATAAACATCTACCCCTTGGATGTGTCCAAGTACAAGATGGTGGAGAGAAACGAGTGGTTTACCGCGTTTTCGTTGTAGTCAAATGATTCTTAGTGCGTTATATAAAAAAACATTAAATACTGCTGTTTTCTGGGCATGGCCCGTCGTTGAATATTCTAAAACAAGACCACTGCTTTTCATACTAAGCCTTCTATCAGGATCATCAGAACACATGCATTCACATGAAGAAGGGAGCAGAGCCAGGTATCGAAACATAGTGATTTTATTTTAGAATATTTCACGATGGATCAAGCCCAGAAAAAAATCAATATTAAACGTAACACACTCATTAATAATAATTTTATTTGATAGCCAAAAAGATGAAATCATTAAAATTAGTGAAGATATTTGGTAAAGAGAACGAATTAGGTACTTCAACGTTAGAAGATTTTTTCCCAGTCACTTCCACAAATAATATCATATTTTAATGTCCACATTTATTGATAAGCAATGATTTTAAAAAATGCCATATTCAACTGAATGACTTTGAAGAAGACATATCGCTCGTATACACCTTTCTTTCTTAACAACGTGTTCGGCGGTACACCACATTCTTCCTTGCAACGTTGATAGACGGTATGATAATTTTAAACATCACAAGCCTTTGGGTTTAAAATATTTCTCCTCGTTTACTTTTTAAGTTCCTAATCACTCAGTTTTCCTATAACATACTTTAATCCCTTTTCTGTAAGGTATTTCCTTGCTGTCTTACATCCCTTTATAATCTTCTTTACTTTAAATAACAACGTGGATAGGTCCATGAGCAGTAAATTTCATATTAACACAGATAAAATGTGTGCTATGCTTTAAGAAACACTTCCACATACAAATTAAACTGAAAATGGGATAGCACGTGAAAATTTAAATTCTGAAAAATCATACGAAAGTTTTTTAAAAACTGCAAATGTTTAAACTACATAAACCTAAAATACAGCGCCGAAATATATTTAACTTCCTTTACAAAGCATTGTTTTCTGAAAGGATAATAAATTGTGCATCATTCTGTTTTGACGCCAGCAACCTACGTAAACCTTTGAAAGTGATTAAAACGAATCTCAACTCAGAAAAAGGCAGAATAGCGTTTAAAAGAAGAAAGTGGATTGTGGGAAGAGGGAAAATGGAAGAAAGCCGGACGAAGAACTGTTGCAACAAATCGAATGATATGCCCGCTGACTCCGACTTCTCGAGAGACGAACGGACGACGAAATTCAATTCTTGAGTGTTGGCACGGCGAGAAGAACTTTTGGTGGTTGCAGTCGTAATACAACGGCTGTAAGCACGACAGCTGCTTTCTTGTCAGCATTGTGCCAGCTGATATTGGATTTTATCACTTTTCGGGCAG